CAATTATAGAAATCATCTAATCTGTTAAAACGTTCTTTGTATGGAGAACACAGTTCTGACAATCTGAAAAAGAAAATTCTGTTTTTAACAGGTAGGCTGGCTTGTCAGCTTTATTATCTGTGGTTTATAGCTCATGAAACTGAGAAACAAAGAGGAGATGATGCAGATAAAAAGCAAAGAAGGACATAGGATTAAACCTCCATGACTCCAAGCTCCTCAATAAATCCCCAAGTCCATGGTGCGCTGTGTTGTACAGCAGTCTGGGACAGTACTGCCTGCTATTAATATGAATAGAGCTTTGTCCCATACGTTTGGAGTTTCTTTCTCACCACAAATGTTTTGAAAAGCAATTAAGTTATTTAAAAAGCAGCCAACATGCCTACCAGTTAACAGTAGTTAACATTTAAAGTGAATAACTATTACATGTTATTTTTTGAAAGATCAGACCTTAATCAATGGATATTGATACTTGCATAACATGAAACTATGTTTTTATTTTAATATTACTTTGGTATTCAAAAGGTCTCTATCCTGACTCAAATTAGTTATTTGTATTTTTTTTAAGTGAGAAAGAGTCAAGCTTGAAATCCTACTTGAATTGAAAGATTAGCTTTATGTTCTTGGAATTTCAGTGTGATCTAGTATGAAGTGGTAAAAACAGAACCAGTAATCAATTATCAATATCATTTTTGTTTTTATTAACAGTGACTTCTTAACACACATGTATATTCTCACATACATATGCACATACACATATGCTTAGCATTCAAGGAATTAAATTCCCATAATCTGCAGTATCTGTCTCTGACTTGGAAGGATCTGGATGAGGCTGGTGCCACCATCTCCACACTTGTTGTCACCCTGGCATCTTGTGGTTTCTCATGAAGTGCTGGTCTTTGCCAAAATGTGACACCAGGATGGTGGACATGGGCTCGATCTAGTCTGATAGATAATGGATGAACTGGTGTAGAATGATAGAATAGCTTGGTTTGGGAGGGAGCTTGAAGCCCACCTTGCTCCATCCCCTGACAGGGGTAGGGACCCCCAGCCTGGCCTTGGGCACCTCCAGGAATTGTGCACCCACAGCTCCTCTGGCAACCTGGGCCAGGGCCTCACCTCTCCCATTGTGCAGAATTTCCTCCTAACATCTAATCTAATTCATGAGTTTGTTTCAAAAAAAATCCCTTTATATATATATATAAATGTAGATTTTAGTAAGAGATCATTCCTTGTTATTGTCAGGCAGTCATTCCCTATGTACAGAGCACACAACCTCGGCCACACTGGTCACAAAAGCCAGCGAAAGCAGAGCTATGGGGAATCAGGGCGGCTGGCAGACATTTTCTCTTTCTTTCTCTCTCTTTTTAAAATAAAATTATTTGTTTAGTTTGAAAGACAATACCCGGCTGGGCTACAGGGAGTGCACTCACTGAGCTAATGCAGGCAGCTGGCATAACCACAATGAGTGGAGCTGCACCCTTCCAGGAGGAAAAAAGGCTCAGATGACAATATAAGTTACTCAAAACAAATAGCGATGAAATGGAGTGGAAGAGAGTTCTCCACTTGAATTACTATAATGTTCCATTTATAGTTTCAGGCTTCTCAGAGGCTGTGATTATAAAACATTGGCTGGCATCTTAAAAAAAGGAAAGAAAATATTCTCCTGGAGGTAGAGAATCTAGATTATCAAGTGGATTTTTATTTGATATCAATAATAAATCACTACTGGGCTAATTTTATTGCAGCCAGAATGTAACGTACACCCATCCGCAGGGCTGTAGGGTGTGCTAAACTTAGACTGCAAGCTCACTTCTCTGTGCAGCACCTTACACCACCGGATCCATGCCTGTGATGAGAGCTCCTGGCAAAATAGCAGCATTACCAGTAACAGCAAGAGTGCAGGCAAGGGAGAAAACAAATCATTGTACAGTGCCCAAACGCTGCGTGGACAGAGCACTGGGGTGGGCCGGGGGCTGGTGAGGTGGTGGGTGATGAGCAAGGTGATCACAGAAATCTCATCTCTGTGCCTTTTTTCCCTCTTGAGGCATTTTGCCCTTTGAGTTTCAGGAGAACTGTTTGGAAGGAGCAGGAGGGTCAGCCCATCTCACAGCCCACAGGGGATATTTTTGAAGGGCTGCAGCTCTGCAACAGTCACTGGGGCTTCACCACTGCCTATGCTGTTGGGCGGTCAACTCTGGGCAGGGAAATACAGAAATACAGTTCCCACAGCTGTTTTCTTCATGAACCTAAGCCAGACCTGTGTATGTGTGTGTGTGAGAAAAGTATTCAAAACTGGGTGAGAAGAGGTCCTACCTTCTGAGCGGGGTCTGGCTGTTTTCTTCTGCCTTGAGCTGAAACAATGGGTAAAAATGCTAAAATACTTACAAAATTCAAAACCTGACAGCAAAAGTATATGTATTATGTCAAATGCACTATTTTCATTTTAACCATTTTCTCCGGGGGCCCTTCAGTAATGATAGTGTTTTACCTTGGTTCAGATTCAAACCAAAATGCTGCTTTGGACCAGGAAACAGGGCCAATTTTTGATAGTAAGATGATGAAATGGGGCATTTCAACAGCTTTGAAATACTGTTTCACCTCCGGCATATTTCAAATGAGGAACCTTGCTGCAGACAAACCCTCTGCTGCAGTTAGGTTGGATCTCATTAAAATGGTATCTCCCCATTAAGAACCACTTACTTTTGATAGTTCTGGTTAGTTCTGATCTATTCTGCCATGGGAATGATATTCTGACATTTGGAAGGAGCTGCTGTGAGCCCTGGGGCTGCCAAACCCTGTCCCTTAGGCTACGCTGTACAGGACAGAGAAAGGAGGCACAGAGCTCCCCGGGCGATTATTTTTTCAACAAAAGAAAACACTCGGAAGGTAAATGTTTGAAAGAAGTGGTCATCCAAAGAGAAATGACAAAGTGGTTGCTTTGGTTAGAAACAAAACAAATCTCAACTGCCACATTTTTTATTTCTGTCAGAAACGCTGTTCGAGGGAGAGAAGTGAATTGTGTGGAAGCAAAAGAAAATAGAAACCAAAGATGACGAGAAAAAGAAGGATAAGAAATCATCTGAGGAGAGATGATAATAAATGACTAGGAAGGCCACTCTGTCATGAAGAGTCGGTTTAATGTGCTCTCTTCCTGCCTTGGTGTATAAAAGGTTTTTTGTCAGACGTGCTTGACTAAAATCCCATGGAAACATCCTTAGCTGCAGCTCACAGGATTAGTGCTGATTTCCATCACGTGGAGCCTGACCTGAACGCCTTGTGCTGGTTTGTGGCATGACAGCTCCAGCCCAAGGGACCTCGGTGCAGCCCTGGCTGCCCTGTGCGGCCTGTGGCGGCCTGGTCCTGCCTCAGCTCCTGCAGGCACCCCAAAGGTGCCTTGCAGTGTCTCAAACGCCCACATCTGTTGTTGTGTCTGAGGAAGTGCAAAAAAAGAAGAGGGTGATGGTGGATGGAGGTGGGCAGAGAGCTCGGCAGGGCTCGTGCTGGGCCCCTGGCTGTCCGGGATGGGGGATCTGGGAACAAGGGGGAGGCTCTGGGAGCTGGCATCTGCACCCAAATTCCGTGTTGTAGCCATGTCTGTAGAGGGCCTCCTCAGACCATAAACTAAAGCTGCATCCTAGCTGCTGAGGGCCACGCTGCTCTCCCTCACCCTATGGGAATGGCTGGCAATTCACTGTGTCCTGTTCCTAATGTTGTTTTACTGCTCCTGCCCAGAGAAATGCTAGCCCACCAACACGCATTCATCCCACTTAGATCCCTGACGTGATGTTAAATGAGACCCAGGAACAGTCCCTCCATTCACCTTGACAAATTTCAGATCAGATATTTTGGGAGGAATGGTGCGCAGGAGCTCCCAGCAGCGCTGCTTCACCTTTCTCTCTTTCAAGGGATGGGGTGGGGGGTGAGCCAGGAGAGAAGGGAGAAAACAGAGCATCTTCCAGCAACTTTTTGACAATGTTTACTCAAATTCTGCAAACTTATCAGATGGAGAGGGTGATTTAAAGCAACCTGATGGTTTGCTCGGGATGGTGGTCCCCCAAGCTCAGCAGCGCTTGGAAGTGATGCATCCCCTCCCTGCACCACGTTCAGCTGTTATTTGCTGCCAGATAAATAGCGTGGCTTCTCAGCTGGAAAATCCGACATCAAAGGAGTAGCAACACACAGCTGATCTGTGCTCTGTCAGCTCAGGCCGGCGGCTGACGGGAGCCATCCCCTCCCTGCTGCGAGGCCGGGGCCGTTGGCAGCGCTGCCGGCCCCAAGGACCCTGGTGCTGGCCGCGAGGGGCCACGCTTCCCTCCCCACGTGCAATCTGTGGTTTGCTCTCCTTGGCCGTGTTCCCCGCAGCGCTCGCAGTTACCTGCGGAAACCAAAAAGCACCGGTCTACGCACGCGGCTGTCTCCATAGTCCCTGTGTAGACAAGTGGAGCCAGAGGGCTGATCCCCCGGCCCCAGCACACAGCCTTCCTTTCAGCACCTTCCCCTTACACAAAGACCAACTTATCCCACCTCTTTTTTCCCCTCGCTCTCCCTCTGTCTCCGCTCCCCATAGCCCTCGCAATGAAAAGCCCTCCACGCGCAGGCTAATAAAAAGTCCTGTGCCACCTCCTCTCCCCCTCCCTTCCCATCTAGAGCGGTGCTGCCAAAAAGGAAAAAAAAAAAAAAAAAAAAAGTAAAAAAAAGGAAACAAAAAATGGGTGGGGGGAGTAGGGAGGGTGAAGGCTGGGGAGAGTTAAACCTGGAACTCATTTAGCAAAAGGGACTTTAGTTAACAAGAAAGTTACCCATCATGAACTGCCGGTAACACCTCGAGTGATCCTAAATCCATTACCCAGAGACTTAGCCCTGGCTGAGTTTGATTTTATGAACTGTGAGGCTGCTATGTTGAAAGTCTGCAAATTGGACATAAATTGGGCTGCAGAAGGCTGGGGAACTGAAAGGGTTGTGTTTTGTTTTTTTTTTTTTCTCTGCTGGTGACGTAACAGGAGACTTGGCTGCAGACTCTTACTCCAGCAAAGAAGCTGTCAATGAGATTCTCCCTATCCCAAAGACAGAGCTCAGAGTGAGTGAAAACCCAGGAAACCTCAATCTTGTGATTTTTGGTTCTGTTGCTGCATCACCTGTACAAGGATGGGCAACTGGCTGCACTCACCCTGCTTCATGTTCTGCCTTGTACACCTTGTGAGCTTTCACTCTCATTATTCGTGTGGTGTCTTCATCACCTCACTAAGCTTTGTTTTTGTTGTAGTTTAGTCTTTAAAATTCTGTGACGCAAATCAAACTCTAACCAAAGCAACTGGATTTGGTGAAATACAAAAAGCTACTCCATTTATTCTCAGAACTGGGTAGCAAAGACTCCACTATAACAACAGAATGACCAGGAAGGGTCAGTGCCCCAGGGGAATGTTGTGGTTTTTGCTGCTCTGTTTGAAATTAGGGTTGCTACAAATGCAACCTCAGTGCATAATATTTTATCATGTATAATCCGAATCTCACATGTTTCAGGGAACCTTTAATATACGGAAACTTCAAACTCAGCCATGGGTAATCTTAAGTCCTCAGACAATTTATGTAAAACCAATTGCCTAGGTAGGGTACAACAAGTTGCAGCAGAGGTGGATGAATTTTATTGGGAAAGACAGCAGGTTGCAGGGTAGTCTAGCCACAGGCAAAAGACCTGCATTACTCTCAAAACTGAGGATTTCAATATTTTTTTCGCTTGTTATTATCATTTTGTTATTGCAGAAAACTGTTCATTTATCCATAGATTGTATTTAGTGATGATGGTGCCTTCTAATTTTAGGTAGCCTAAGAAAAATGAAGATGTCATGATTACGGAGGAAAAGTTTGGGTTGGACATTAAGAGTCCTGTTCGCAAGCAGAATTTCTGTGGCCTTCACATTGTCAAGGATGATGACCCAGCTGCAGTGGGAGGTAAATTCCTTTTGGTGCCTGCCCTGATAACTCAAGAAACCCATGGACAGAACATGTCCTCCCCTCCTGCTCCCCACTGGCCAGAGTGCTGCCATCTCCTCATTTGCCTTCTGCTGCGTTTAGATTGAAAAGAATTTACCCCTAGGTAGTAGATGCAAAGATCATCAATTTAAATTACTTGAGTTAACTTGAAACAAATGACTTTCGATTCCATACTGAGATAGAAAATAGAAACGAGACATAGGAAAAAAAAAGTCCTTTCTCTGATTTAACTGTTTGTTTTATTGCTGATGCTTTAAAATTTAAACAAGTTTTGAGACAGGTTTTAAAAGTGAAAAATCAAGATGCTTTCTTCTAAAAAAATATAATATCAAAGAAATATCACTGCAAGATTGCATTTTTAATCAGATAAACTGTTTCTTGAACTCCTTTCAGCATTCAGGACAATTGAGAAAAGACATGAGTTTGCAAAGACATAAAATCAGTGGGTTTCATTTGAACTTAAAACTACTTTTTATCTTTTTTAAATTAAGCATGTATAGAGATACCTTTCTAGATGGAGAAGGCATACCCACCCCATGTCAGCACAGACCTTTGAATATTTAATTTAAAAGATTAGCTAACATAGCTCTTCAAGGTACCTTTCTCCCTCTCTCTTAAGTCCTCGAGCCCTGATTGGTACCAATTTTGGATATTTTTTTGACCTGACATAGCATAGCACAGCACCTTCTCTGTTATTTGATAAGTAAAGGTAACACTGTGAAACACGTGGCTAATTTTACCAGCAAGGTGGCAACAATTCAGTATGTGATATGTGAGGGCAAAGCACAGGCAGTTCATTTGGGTAATTTCTTAGCCTTCTGGCTTCTGCAATGTTTCTTTAGGGGGCACTGAATATGAGTGATTGAGTGAGAGAGAGTACGACAGAATTAGCACACACTGGATCTTTTGACCAAGGGGGAAGAAAAAAAAAAAAAAGAGAGAAGAAAAAAAAAAAAAAAAACACAAAACAAAACAGTCTAATGTTGGTCTAGGGGCACGTTCCCCTAGGACTTGGGAAAGAAAAACACCAAACCACGTTAGTTTGGTGCACCTCGAGCAGAGCAGCACATTCAATTAAAATCCATTTCAACAAAATAAAAAGACACTTAATCTTGGATCAAAAATAACTACAAAATAGCAGACAGCACCACCCAGCCTGAGCTGCGGTGGCATTTCCAAGGCAAATTCAGTTTGCTGATACTGTACCGCGAAGTGTGCTTCTAGGAAATTGCTGGCTATTCCCTCTTTGAGTTTCCAACGCCGTCTGCGAAAGGCTTCTCTTAATGAAAGCCCACGGGTACCTCCTCAGAGTCACCTGATGGTGCCATGTAGAATTTGCCAGTTTGTGTGAAAGGCATGCTCATGTTTGCCATGTAACCTAAAGACAGGTAAAATTGCTCTGCTCTTTGCCTTTTCCCCCTTATTTTTTTTCCTTTTCTCTCTCTCTCTCTCTCTCTTTTTTTTTTTTTTTTTTTTTTTTTAATTCTTGTTTCTTAATCTATGCACTCTGTATGGAATCCTCTCACCTCTGATACAATAACTACAAGGATATGTGATACCTATTTTTAACATCAATGTCTTGCAGAATGTCTGTATGAGAAACCTGCTTGCTGGGAGAATTAAAGCCCCGATTTTCAGCTCATCCCTTCTGTTTGCACCTGCCCGTCTGTGAGCTCATGTAGTATTATCTGAGATCTGCAGTGATATCTAATTACTAAGCTGTCCTCCAAGGACTTACATTTCTCTGCAGTTTCTGATTTCCCTGCAGCAACAGCAGACACATCCCCAGCACTCTTTGGGTGACTCAGTCAGGTCTCAGCAGCCTCCCTTTTCTATCACCTTCCAAGACAACGTGCTCACCATGTCTCGAGGTGGTCATGTTGTCCTTGGGGTCCCCCAGCTCCAGCAGCCCTGCAGGGACCCCTGAGGCACCTGGCAGTTGTAAGAGTGTCTGGGATTGTCAGATTAAGTTTAGTCTGACCCAAACATAGAGGTTTGGGGATTGCAACTCTGCATTTAGTCCACAGAGGTCCTCTTTATGCTGCTAGGATCTTTACTGAATCCATCCCAAATTATTTTCATTCTTCTGTACGATACAGAAGAATGGGCTTTGGGGAATTAACTACCAGACACGCTGAGCATCTGTGGTTTCTTCTTACAATAGGTTGAAGCCACACAGATTGTCTGAATGTGGCTCTAGCACCACCTTCACTGAGGTCTGGAGCTCACAAAGCAGCTTGGAGGAGTGGAGTCACACAGGGCAGCCTTGCTGTTCAAGCTGCACATTTAATTTTAATGAAGGGGAACTCTGCTTCTCTCCAGCTCCACAGCCAGGGTCCTCCTTGCATGCAAGCTCAGGTTCCTGATTTGCTACCAGGAGGGCATAAAAAAGTATTTAAAGATAATTTATTCTTACCGAGCAACAATAGCAATAGTTAATCTCTTATATTAAAACTTTTAATGACTTAGGGGACTTATGAAACCATCGGAGCCTGTTTAATGAGGGCCTGCTCTGGCCCACACTTTTGGAAGCTTAAATCTTTAATAGAGCAGAAAAGAAATTCACAACAATTTTTTGGGGGACTGTACTAAAATTTATGGAGCTGTTCAGTTTCCAGGACTCCTGTTCCTGCTGGGCAATGCTCTGATGATGTATTACAGTAACATGTCATCAGGGCAATGGAGCTCCATGATGCATTACAGCAATAAGTCGTTTGTAATACATCATCGGAGCAGCTGCTGCCCCGGATTGGGAGTCTCAAACAAAAATTAGGCAAGCAATTCAACGAGCACCGATGACGCTTTCTTTCTTTCCCTTTTTCTTTCCCTGTCTCCAGGTCCTTCTCTCCTTCTCACTCCCAATCTCTCCCTGCCAATAGCAATTTGCTGGTAATTTATTCATTCTGCTTCTCCCATGAAAATTCCTTTCTGGTGGAACCAATTGAGCACAATGTGCTGCACCCCAGGAAAGCACCGCGAGGAAGACGAGGATGACTGTAATGAATTAGATGTGTAATCCCTGCAGACTGGTAGCCCAGGTCTGACAGTGACCGGCACCAGATGTTTAAGAGGAGACAGCCCATGACGGCGAGTTGACGGGTGTAGGGCAATGTAGGTCTTATTTCACTATTACTAATTAAGAGTTAATACTTAATCCCCTACCCCACCCCACCCCCAGTCACATCCTGTTTTTACTTCTCATATTTTTGTTAACAATATTAACAATTCCATATAACCCAAGAAAAAAACATCCAAAATTATTTAATAAATTGGGGTAAGTTCTCAGCCTCAGTAATGTTACTGGACAGTGAGGTCCACAGTCAGACAGTGCCTGTGGCTTTACAGAAATTCCTGCTCCACTTTTTGTTTCTCTATGCTTCATCTCCTCTGCCTTTGGGCCTCCTTTTTCAGCAGCAGATTTTACCAGTTGGTCTTTGAGCTCCCCATAACCCCTCTTCTTGCAAGAGTAACACAAAGACAAGCAGTAAGGAGGCTGAGCTGGATTGGGAATGGCACTGCATGAATGCTTTGCCAACCATCTCCTCATCACCTGAAATAGCTGGATGTTCCCAGAGTGAAACAATCTAGAGAAATACTGTTTTCTAGACTGCCATAATTCCTGATTTCAGGAATCTTTAGCAAAAACATTGATCTCCTTTCACTTCTTTGCTTGAAAGCAAAAAATGTTCTGGTGCCAGAGCTCAGGTAAGGAAATGTGTTACTGGAAGTAGCCACGTAGCAATGGCAGCCTGATGGCATCCCGAGCCCTGTAATCTTGCGGGTGGCTTTCTAAGCTTTCCCCCTCTATTGTGCTTGCCTTGGCCTTCTACACATGTGGCAAACAGACCTCTGGAAACTCATCAAATACACTGAAACAGCCTTTTTTCAGCCTTGAAAACTCATTTCATTCTGTTCCTCTTCTGCTGTTTTCTTTAGAGAGGGGGCCCAGGTGAAATGTTTGAGACCTGACTCTTGCTATTTCCCAAGCTCAGAGGTACTAAGAGTTGGCCAGGGTGATGTTTCAGTTCATGACAGAGGAAAAAAACAATTGGGACCAGATGTAGCCCCCGATAGGGTGTCTGGGTATTGGATCTAGGATTAGGACTTTGCTCTAGAGCTATCTGTTGTTCTCTTCAGCAGAGGTTGGCTTGGGAGATAATATAATGTTCAGTGGGGAACCGCTGAATATACAGTCCATACTCACACACTGCAGTTTGTTTTGTTTCGGGGAGTTGTTTTGATTTTTTTTTCTGTACTACTCTTTTAGTGTCTAATGCTCTGCACTTATTAAATCACCCTGCACAGCAGAGAAAAAGAGAGGAAAATCACATCCATGGGTTGTTACAATGCATGAGGCATAACCAAGTGCTTCAAATCCTTGAGGGGATTACTTCAAAATCACCAGGCCACCTGGAGTTTCATTATGGCTCTTACAAACAGGCTTTTAGCAAGAAGGATGAGGTGGGGGGAGAAGGGGTCTTCTATTTAAGCACTGAAAAGAGATAAAGTTCAGAGAACTGAACAATGGCTTCCAATGGGCTCAGCCGAGTCAGCTGAGACCAGGGACTGGAAAGGATTAATCAGAGCGAAAAATGTCAGCTTACAACAAAATCTTTAGCAAAGTGTCCAAGCCACAGGGCTCAGCAGAGACCAGTGTTAGTCATTCTCTAATCACGTACTACTTTTTCCCTTGCTTAGTGTGTGAGTCAAGAGTTTGTACTTGAATCCAAGTCTTCTTTGCAATCTCTCTGCCACAAGCTGTTCCTTGGCCCTTATGTCCCATCTGTAGGAGAGCCCCTTTCTTGCTCCTGTGTTTTTTCTGGCATATTGGCTACCCCATGCATCCTCTGTCACATCTTCTGCTTTTGGTTAATTACATAGTACATATGTCTTCTGAAGCATATAGCATCTTTGAAACAGTCTTACCTTAGACAGAGGAATACTTTAGTCTTGATGAG